GTTTATTTATTTTTTTAATTGTGTTTATTTTTATACTCACAAATTTTTTGGTACTTCTTCCTCCAAGAGGTGAAGCTTAACCGCCCCCCCCCGCCCCATTCTATTGACTATGAGCTGGACTAGATGACTGATTTCTAAGAAATAGAGTATGGAAATGGAGAAATAGAAATTTACAGAGGAAAAACTTAGCTAAGGGATCAAAGTAAACACCACCACCAATAAGTCATGTTGATATCATATAATTTATATGAATGATAAAAAGAGCTATCAATTCTGTGGTCTTATTCCCCAAATCTCATAGTAATCCCAGTTATCATGAGAAAACATCAGACAAGTCCAAATTGAGGGCCATCCTGCAAAACAGCTGGCAAGTACTCTTCAAAAGGTGTTAAGGTTATTAAAAAAATAAAATAATAAGGAACTGTCAGAGAATGTAGGAAAACGAGGAGACATGATGACTAAATACAATCAGTATCCTGGACTGAGCCTTGGCGGGGGTGGGGGAAGACTTTGGGGAAAACTTGTTAACATTTGTATAATGTGTCTAGCTTAGTTAATAGTACTGAAATAATGTTATTTTCTTAATTTTAATAGGTGAAATATGTTAACTTAGGGGAATCTAAATGAAAGGTATACAGGAACTCTCCTTACTACCTTTGCAACTCTTCTGCAGATGTAAAATTATTCCAAAGTAGAAAGTTAAGAAAGGATTATTAATTTACTTGGGCTTTTCTAGTGGTTCAGCTGGTAAAGAAGCTGCCTACAATGTGGGAGACCTGGGTTCAATCCCTGGGTTGGAAGATACCCTGGAGAAGGGAAAGGTAACCCACTCCAGTATTCTGGTCTGCAGAATTCCATGGACTGTATACTCCATGGGGTTGCAAAGAGTCAGACATGACTGAGTGACTTTCACTTAATTCTTGTGAGATTTCACAAAGAAAGGAAGACAAAAAACCTTGTAGTCAATTTGAAAAATTTAATCAGAAGTCTCCCCTAAGTTTTTGATTTGCTATATACTACAAATCATACCTCATACCTAGAGGCACACCTCATTTTATTGTACTTTGCTTTATTGTGGTTTTTACAAATAGAAAGTTTGTGGTAATCCTGTCTTGAGCAAAAAGTCTATTGGTGACATTTTTGAAAGAGCATTTGCTCACTTTGTGTTTCTGTGTTACATCTTGGTAATTTTTGCAATATTTCAAACTTTTTATTGTTATTATATTTGTTACAGTGATTCATGATTGATGATCTTTGATGTTTCTATTGTAATTGTTTTGGTATTTTTTATTGATAAGGTATTTTTATATTCAGATATGTATTTTTTTAGACATAATGCTATGGCACACTTAATAGACTGCAGTACAATATAAACATATTGTGACTTGCTTTATTGTGATATTCACTTTATTGCTATTCTGGAACTGAACTTGCAATATCTCTGAGGTATGCTTGTAATGCTATTATAAACATTTGTGTACAGGTTTTGTGAACACATTTTCAATTCTCTTGAGTGTATACCTACAAGTGGAATTGCTAGGTTGAATGGTAGCTCAACATAGAACTTTTAGGAGGATTGCCACAATGCTTTCCATGGCAAGTGCATGATTACATTTTTCCACCAGCAATGTTTGAAGGTTTTAGTTCTCCACATCCTTGCCAACACTTGGTACTGCTTTTTTTGTTCAAGGTATCAGCAGGGCTGCATTCCTTACTGAAAATGCAGAGAATAATACATTTCTCTACTTTTTGAGCCTCTCAAGCCTGCCCACATTCCTTGGCTCAGAGCCCCTCTCCTCTATCTTTAAAACTAACACCACCAAACTGAGTCATGCTCATGTTTCCACTTCTCTGTTTCTACTGTTTGCTTCTTTTTTTTTTTTTTTTGACAATAGCATTGCTAGTGGATGTGAAGTGCTGGAGGTGTACATCCCCAGTGGTTCTGTGCTTCTCTAACCTTTCTGCAGAAATTGGTCCTCCTGACTGATTTACTTCTGGACCAAATTCTGCCATTCACTTGGAAACAGTTGGCCTAACGGCATCCTTTTCAGATCTCTATCAGAAAGGATCTCAATAGGTTATTTACATGATTTACTCGACAAGCTGTGATGAATGTAGGAAACTTCCAAAAATGAAAATGAGAGAGAAGGTATCTTGTGTGAAAGACTCAAGAGTTTTCAGCTTCTGAAAGAAGCTGAAAGTTTACAGAGACCCCAGGGGCTGGTTTAAGATGTTAGAAATACATCTTATTAGGTGACATTATTTCTTATATGTAAAACTAAAACAAGCTTCTCAAACTAATAATTCTTAACACTACTTGTGGGTGATGAACAGATGCTTTTTATTCTATTCTTTTTAAAAAATTGCTTGTTGTGACCCACAAAGCTGATTTCAAGAGCTATAATTTGCAGTAATTCTCACTATGAAGAACACTGGGTTGAAGAATATTTGAGATGTCTTTTTGCTCTATTCTAAAAATTAACCAGTCTACATTGGAAAGACAAAAAAGCAAAACACAGAAAAACAGCCTCAGTCTTGCTGAGTCTGGTCTTCTTCAGCTCATTGTCAGTTAAAACAGTCAAATATTCTCCATTTCCAGATGACAATGTCCTACAGAAAAAGCCCCAAGTCAGACCTCTCCACCAAAATGTACAGCAGAAGGTAACCTTGGTACTTGGCATCTCAACTCCAGTACCCTCATCTGCCATTGTCCCTACCCTTTTTATAATCAGGCTACTTTAAGGTCTTATATTTTTCTTTTTTAATGCTTTTGCCCAGTGAATTCAGGAAGTATTCATCATGTTATTACACTTACTTCGTTTATACTTAATGTGATATGATACACATATATGTTCATGAAATATACATACAGCTTCCTTGGTGGCTCAGCTTGTAAAGAATCTGCCTGCAATGTGGGAGACCTGGGTTTGATCCCTGGGTTGGGAAGATCCCCCGGAGGAGGGCATGGCAACCCACTCCAGGATTCTTGTCTGGAGAATCCTCATGGGCAGCGAGCCTGTCAGGCTGCAGTCCATAGGGTCGCACAGTCAGATGACTGAGCAACTAAGTAGCACTCTTGTTCTAAAGGATAGAAACCAGAGATCCCACATTCTCAAAAAGCTTCCCCCACTAAGGTATTTTTACGAAGATGGCGGACTCACACTCCTTGAAAACAGTAGGATAAGCAAGAAGATCGAACCAGTCAATCCTAAAGAAAATCAACCCTGAATATTCATTGGAAGGACTGGTGCTGAAGCTGAAGCTCCAATACTTTGGCCACCTGATGCAAAGAGCCAACTCACTGGAAAAGACCCTGATGAGAAAGATTGAGGGCAGGAGGAGAAGGGGACAACAGAGAATGAGATGGTTGGATGGCATCACTGACTCAATGGACATGAGTTTGAGTAAACTCAGGGAGATAGTGAAGGACAGGGAAGCCTGGCATGCTGCAGTTTATGGGATTGCAAAGAGTTGGACACAATTTAGTGACTAAACAACAACAATAATGCATTCTTAAAGTCCTATCAGGTATTGAATTATGAATATGATCCTTCCTGGTTGGTTGAGGACAAAAAATAACCAAAGACAATTGATATTTTGTGTCTAAGGAGCTAGAAGAGAAAAGATAACATTAAAAAAAATAAAACAAGGTGTGTAAGAGGAAGATTGCTTTTAAAACTGCTTTATTAATTTCATATTATGAAAAGAATACTTTTTCTTATAACTGAATGATATTGCCCTCCTGACAGAAAGTTATACAATGAGACAAAATAGTATTCAGTTAGAAACTGGTAAGTGGAAACACCAAAAGATTTACAGAAAAAAGTAACTCACAAAAACTACAAGCACGTAGAGCAGAGGCCACATTATTAACCTCAGGAAAACTCTTAACATTCAAGGTATAAGGCAAAATTCATAATGATTGTCAGGTTCAGGAGTTTGGTAGGGCACATGATGTCTCATCTGCTGCTTCTTAGTCTTTCTTTTGATTTCCATCATCTGCCCCACATGGTTTTCTACATTATCTCCCAGTTCATTGTGATCAATATGCCTGTTGGGTATAGCCCATCGAAAATTAGGGACAAGTCGTCTAACCCATCCCAGCCAGATATTTCCTCCAGAATTCTGGACTTTGCCCCCTCCCAAGTCGCGTGATTCCTCTCCAGTCTTCAAAGGGGCCTGGTCCCCTCCTTCGTTTTCCTGTTGGGCATCTTCCATGTTGAAACTTTCTATTGCTCGTTCCTCTTTGGAAGCCATTGCTCCTAGGAGACAAAAGATGCAACAAGGGACTATTTTCTGGGTGGAATGATCAGCACCGAGGACAGAGGCCCTACTACGCACCTCTCAATATTCCCAGTCCTGGTGGTCAAAGGCTTTTCAAATTTTCCTTTTCCCGCCTGAGAGGCCTCCTATGCCCTCTAGAAAGCCCCCAGTCCGAGCATTAACCCCCTCCCGCGCTCCAAAGCCCCCATTTTTCCTGCCGATCCAGGCCCAGGTCTCTGCAGGCACCAAAATGGAGGACGGGGTTGCAGGGAGCATTTGGAGTCTTAGGGTTTTCCCCACGTTCCCCCTCCCCCCCCCCCACCTCCCAACTGTCCCTCGCACCGACCTGGGCCTATCCTTGCTGTCTCCTGCTCCTCCTGATTCTTGCTGCAAGTGCGCCGCCACAACACTTCCGACTCGCAGACCTACAGAGGGTCGGGGTGGGGGCAGGGGGATACTGCAGCCGGGCGCTCGGCTCCTTCCTGGCCCTGCGTCCCCTACCCCCAGCTACCCCCACCCAGTGTGCCCCGCTCCCATGCTCAACCGCCCCCTTCCCAGTCCCAACACGCAGCGCCGACCAACATTTTCTAACCCGAGAAGAACGGGGGCGGGGCAGGGGTGTGGGAAAAGCTCGCGATGGTGCGAGAAGCAGGTGTTAGCAAGGGCCTGCCGCCTTAAGGCCTCCCGGCCCGTCCCCCACCCCAGCCCCGGGAAGGCCTACCGCTTTCCGCGGCCAAATGCCGGGTGTCGGGGCGGGGGCGGGGTGGCGTTGGAGCTGCAGTCAGCACTCCGAGGCAACAGACTGCCGAGGAGAGGTCCGCAGGCTGCGTCCGCTCGCCCGCGCTATCTTTGCGGACCCCACTCCGGGTCCCTTACCTGCTCCTCTCGCTTCTCCTCCTCTTAGGGGTCGTCCCCGGCCCGGGCTCCCTCGGGGCCACTCGGAGCAGGTACCAAGAGGCAAGGAGGCGACCGCCGGGTCTGACGCGAAAGCGGGGCGTGCAAGCAAGACTAGGCACTGGCCGGTCACGTGGGGCTTGTGTCGCCACGGAAAGCCACGCCCTCGCCCCGCCCTTCCTGCCCCTCGGGGTCTCGCAGAGCCAGCGGTGCCTTGCAGAGCCTTTGGTGGTGCACACACACCTTCCGTTGTCCCTCACTCTTCACCACCACCACCCGCCGCCCTGTGACACTTGTCCAGGAGCCGGCCGCAGAACCCTCCTTTCTTCACGTGTTCCTGGGCCTTTCTTTGCCGGCCACCTAAGGGCAATATCTTCCCAGGGGCAGATAGCCATTCCCATTTCTCTTCTGAGGACTTGCATTTTCCCTCCTCTGCACTCTGGATACCCCCCTCCACTTGCTGGGATTTAGGTGCAGCATTTTAGGGGATGCTAAACCCCTCAGCACTGAAGATAATCACACTTTAATGCACTATTCTAAAAAACAAAATTAATGCAAGAATATCTGTGATGAGCAAGGTGTCCCACCCACTTCACTTCCAAGCTGTTATTCTCATTCATTCATGATTGTCTCAATCATTGTCTCAATCTTGGTATCAATCATTCATCATGATTGTCCACCGTTTTCTTATTTTCTCTGTATGCAAATGCATGGGGGAGAGTGGGGAACAGGAAATGAGTCAAGGAGATGGTGTTGTTTCTAATTATTTTCACAGTTTTTTGTTTTGTTCCTATTTTTGATTAAAAATTCCTTCTATTTATAGTTTACATTAACTTTATCTTTTATTATGGAAAATTTCAAACATATGCAAATATAGAACAGTATAATGAAATACAATGTACTCACCACTGAGCATACACAACAACTGAAAATGTATCGGGACAACTCATGGCCAATCTTATTTAATCTATATCCCCTTACCCACTTTCCACCCTTAGAGATTATCTTTGAAGTAAATCCCAGACATATCACTTTGTGCACTTCTACAAGGACTCTTTTAATTACAACCATTATACCATTAACATGTGCTTAAGTTGCTTCAGTTGTGTCTGACTCTTTGTGACCCTATGGATCATAGCCTTCCAGGCTCTTCTGTCCATGGGATTCTCCAGGCATGAATACTGGAGTGTGTTGCCATGCCCTCCTCCAGGGAATCTTCCTGACCCAGGGATGGAATCCATGTTTCCTTTGTCGCCTGTGCTGCAGGTGGATTCTTTACCAATAAGCCACTGGAGAAGCCCCTTGGCTATGACAATTTGATGGTACTGTGTCTTGGTGAGTGTATCCTGCTTTGTTTGTTGAGCTTCTTGGATGTGTGTATTTGTGATTTTCCTTGAATTTTAAAAGTTCTATCCATCATTTTTTCAAATAATCTTTCTTCCTTCTCTCTCTTTTTTCTTTCTGCTCCTCAGACTGAGTCATAGACTTATCTTAAAGTTTCCTGATTCCTTCTTCTGCCTGTTCACATTTGATGTTGAACCTTGATATTGAATTTTTCATTTCGGCTATTGTACTTTTCAGCTTCAGGATTTCTGTTGGTTCCTATTTATTTTTCCTGTTTATTGATATTCCCTATTTGGTGTGACATCATTTTCCTGGTTTATTTTAGTTCTTTATCCTTTACCATTTTGATCATATTAAAGACAGTTGATTTAAAGTTTTTGCCTAATAAGTCCAATCTCTGGGCTTTCTGAGGAATGTGCATGCTAAGTTGCTTCAGTCGTGCCTAACTCTTTGTGACCCCATGAACTGTAGCCCACAAGGCTCTTCTGTTCATGGGATTCTCCAGGCAAGAATACTGGAATGGGTTGCCATGCCCTCCTCCAGGGGATCTTCCCTACCCAGGGATTGAACCCACATCTCTTGTGTCTACCTGCATTGGCAGGCAAGTTCTTTACAACTAGCACCACCTGGGAAGCCCTTCTGGGGGACAGTTTCTACTAATTTTATTTTTCCTGTGAATAAGCCATATTTTATTTGCATGCCTCATAATTTGTTTCCTGTTGAAACTGGACATTTTGACTATTACTATGTGATGAAGGAGTCTTTGGGCCTAGAAAAGAAAACAACGGTCTCAAAGGCCCTTGCTGAATCATCTAACTTTGGAGAAGACAAAACAGAACTTTAGATCCCACCCTGATGCTCCAGGCTGGTTGCATCTATCTGGGACTTGTCACCCCCTGTCCAAAGACCTTCCACCCCCTACACCTGCCCAAAAGACTTATCACCCCCTGCCCAACTACAAATGCCATCTCAACTAAAGAATACCCCAAACTTCTTACCTGATTAACGTTTCCCTGATTGCTTCCACAAACCTCCCTATAAATATGGAGCCTCCCTGATCCCTCTCGGTGCTTAGTCTGGTCGTTAGGCTGACTGTTGCCCCTCCTTGCCTGAATAAAGGTAACCTACTTCTGTTGAGGTCGTCTTTCCCTTTTTGTCTCGGCCTGAACTATACCTTACCTGTGATACCTCTGGGAATCATATTCTTCCCTCTCCCCTGGATTTGTTGTTGCTGGCCATTGTGATTTGTAGTTGAATTTTTGTTTAGAGATTTTTCAAAACTGTTTTTGTAAAGTCTTCATCCTTTATTATGTGTGTCCACTGAAGTCTGTTTTGCCTAAACTTAGTGATCAGCTGGTGTTTGGACAGTTTATATAAATACCTGGAGTCAATGAAAGTTAAGAAGAAAAAAGAAGAAACACTCTTCCAAGTCTTTGCTGATTGGTCCTTGCTGGGGAATGCATTCAGTGTTTAGCCAGGAAATTTACAACTCTCTTAGTTTTTACTTCCTACTTCAGACTTTCCCTGGGTGGCTCAGATGGTAAAGAGCCTGCCTGCAGTGCGGAAGACCCGGTTTCAATCCTCGGGTTGGGAAGATCCCCGGGAGAGGGAAATGGCAACCCACTTCAGTATTCTTGCCTGGAGAATCCCAAGGACAGAGGATCTTGGTGGGCTACAGTCCATGGGGTCGCAAAAAGTCAGACACAACTGAGTGACTAACACTTTCTTTTCTTTCAGAGTCTGAAGGACATCCGGAGGTGAAAGCTTGGAGTCTCCTCAGGCCTGTAAAGCACATTCCCATTCTGGGCATATGTGTGGCCTTCTTGATCCCCCTGTATATTAGAGAACTTTTAAAAGCCCTTATTCCCCCCATGTGTCTCCTTTCACAACCTCTTTCTCCCAGTTTTTTCATTACATTTATTGTTTATGCTGAGTTTTGTCCTTTGCCCTAGGCAGCTAGGGCAAATATCTGAGCCTTTAAATGCTTTTAGCAAAAACCACTTTACTCCTTTGGAAAGCTCTGAATCAGGCAAAACAAAGAGAAACATTCTGCCAGATGAGTTGAGATCCAGAGCCACAATTCACTGAGAATAAACTCCATAATGCTCCTTATGGTACTAGCAACCTTCAGCAGTTGATCTGGGGTGTTGGGGATGACTACTTGGCAGTTTAAAATACCACAGCACTCACAATGCAACACAGGAGCTTCTCTCTTCAACAGGTTTTCCCCTGGTAATGGAACAAATGGAATATTTCCTGTCATATCAGTAAACAAAGGATTACTGAACCCTGAGGGAACTCAGGGAGCAAAGAATACCTTCCATTTAGCAGCCATCAGACTGCAATCACTTCCTACTCTGAGCCCTGAGGAAACTCAGGATATGAAAACACAGGATACTGGCCCCAGATAGCTGAGGTGCACATCAGAGGAATGATTACAGTGAGTCCAGACTCTTGCATCTTCCCATACAGAGAAAAGCACTAAATTCTGTAACTTGACATATCTGGTTTCTCTAACCAACAGCAGTCTTTTGATGTTCCTGACTACCTGCTCTTTGTTGCAAAACTCCTATATATACTGGCTCCTCCCTCACCTCCTTGGAGCAGCAGTTTCTCAGAGCTATCTGGGATGCTGTCTCCCCAGCTGAAGCCCTCATTTTGCCCCAGATAAAACTTAACTCACACCTCCCACACTGTGCATTTTTTTCTAAGGCAACATTGCTGTAGTTGTTTGTGTTTTTTATTTTTTTGTTTGTGTTTTTTAAAAATTAGATTCCAGTGTGATGCAAAAGTTTATTCTGACAGTTTTTGGTATGGACTCTGGATTTCTTATTACTCTGCAATTTTTTAGATGTCTTCTCTGTATGTTTTTAAACTCTCTACAATATATGTCAGCATGCAATTTTCTTTCAAAATTAACCTAAGAAAGCAGTACAAGATTATGCTTGATTTTCAGTAATTTTAAAGTAGAATACTTGGTTAATTATGTTTGGTACTTTTTCACAAATAAATTTATATATTTGACTTGATTAAAAAACATACTCTCTGGAATACAGCTATGGGAATTTCATATTTCTAAATATGTTTAAAAGTTATTACAAGGTTAAAAATTATAGATGAATATAAAAAATAAGTTTTGTTACCATTGTGAATAGTAAATATTTGGGTACTGTTTGAGTTCTTCTCAATTAAAAAATCATTTCTATTCAAAACAAATTTACTTAAGTTTTAAAGGTTACTAGTACATGTTTTCCCCATTTACCTCATGCTCTTACCATGTCTGGTTATAGGAGCCTTCCTTCCCTTAAGTCTCACAAAAATAATCAGGAAAAAAGATGAGTGAAAAAAAAACTACACATGACAAAAGATCCAAAATGATAATGAAAGTGAAAGTGAAAGTTGCTCAGTCGTGTCCGACCCTTTGTGACCCCATGAACTATACAGTCCATGAAATTCTCCAGGCCAGAATACTGGAGTGGGTAGCTTTTCCTTTCTCCAGGGGATCTTCCCAACCCAGGGATTGAACCCAGATCTCCGGCACTGCAGGCAGATTCTTTACCAGCTGAGCCACAAGGGAAGCTCAAAAATGATAATAAAACATCATAATGAAATAGAATAAGTCCTAGCAGCATTAAAAAACCCCATTTGTGCAACACGCTATTTCTAGTCATATGGAAATCAGCACAAGATACAACCACACTTGCTCCATGAGCCAGACTGTGGCGTTATCTAGAAATTACCAACCCACAAAATGAAAGAAGGATTTGCATATTAAAACTCAGAGCTCTAATACTTGAAATATACCACATAGACTTTGAGATTGAGGATCCATGTTATTAATGGTCAGTTGATTTTGCAAAAGCATCAACCTCATTTTTCAGCCATAATTGCAGAGACTGAAATGCAAGTTTTCTGACTCTGCATTAGGTATATTTCTCATCACACA